TTTCCGGACTGACCCGTTTCCAGAAAAATAATAAATGTTTAGTGGACGAGTCGAGACGATTTCCCATCGGATCGGGACGATGTCCGCCATTAGAATGTTCTGATTATTTCGTCACGTATCGTGCGGACTATCGCATAATATAAATTTCGAATTTATTATTAAAATTTTGATTGATTATTTAAGACCCCGAGAGATGTCTAAAAGCGCGTGGTAAGTAATTTAACGACGGCTCGGAGTTCTTTGAAAGAAAAGTTTCTGTCGGCATTTTCGGACGCCCGATCGTCTTTTTTTTTGCCGCGTTTATTATTTATTATAGAACTTCGTTGGTTGGGTTTTGATCGCCTTCATGAATTTGCTTTATTTCATGTGGTAATATGAATAAAAACTATAGCAATTTTTTTCCATAAAATCCAAACATTAGTTTACTTCTGATACCTAAATGGGCAACCAAATTTCTCGAGATACCACACTTACCAAACCATAGATAACACAGGTCTTCAAAATTAAACTGTTTGACAGATATTTTTATATTAAAGCAAAAAAAAACGATATTTTAAAAATAATTTACTTTTTTATTCAGTACAAAAGGCTTGTTCTAGATGGCTATCCTAATTGAGTCCATTGTCTATCTCTTGCCCGACAATCCCACTCACAAATAAAGCATGGAAATTTTGTATTTTGTTGTTGTCCTAGGGACATGCACCGCATTTTAAGGTCAGGTGATGTTCTTGGTAGTTTATTTTCTTCCAAAAAAGTCCTAAATTTTCATACATTTCTTTTTAAAGCACGCAATATGCAACTGGAACCGAGGCCAGTTCATTGAGTCAATAACCAGGCGATATTCTTTTTTTATACCAGGAATATGGTTGCAATTCACGGTCTCTCTGGTTAAACACTTTGGGCGCTCTGAAATTTGGTGCGAAATCTGAGTCATCTGGGTTGGAATTAGATTCCTCTGATTCTAACGATATGACGTTTTCTTTGAGGCGATAGGTATCGGTACATCTGGTCCATGAGAAACTAGCCGTATAGCAGAGTCAAGATTGGCATACACAATTTGTTTCTTTTTTTTTTGTTGAATCCTTGAACATTACACGAACAAATATAACAATCATCACTGTGAGTCCTCGTCATACCATAGGAACACCAAGGTTTAAACATTTCTTCCTACATTTTTGCCAGTTTTCTTAATTCTTTAATGCAAACGGAACAAACAGTATGATTAGCCCAGGACTTGTCTTGGTCGACATTTTTTATATATAACAAAAGTTATTTGGATTGTTCACACAATGTCTTCTTTCCATACTTATACGTTCTAGAACACTAGAAATACTCACCAACGAGGACAACAGCGGTGAACACAGTAGCACTACTACCAATTCAAACAAACTGTGCATAAACAGGTTATAACGTTATATTGACGCTTCTGCGCCAACTCTGTTGCTTTGCAGAGAAGTCTAATATTATCCAGAGTTGCCAAATTACATTTAATTTCATATTCATGTCATAGGTATGTATATTAATAAAATAAAATAAAATTTTCAAGATATAGAGCGCTATAAAAAAAATGACGCGATAGAGCAAAAATATGGCGTTTTTTGGAAAGAAGGCCTCCATAAACATAGAAATAAGCAAACAGCTTTCAAACATCAAAATCACTGTGGACCTGTGTAATCTAAGATTACTCTCATTGTGACGTCAGTGATCACAACATATTTTAAGAAAGGAGGTCTAATTGTTGCTGTGGTGCAAATCACCTGGTTCCTTACATTTGCAGAATAAGATAATAATAAAATGATATAATAAACCACTCTATTTTTTCTGGAATTATTGGAATTTTCTTGTTACCTTTTTATAATATTTAGTATCTCGTAGTTTGGCAAAAACTATAACTAAGTTATTGTCCTTATAAAAATACTTTTCGACTTTACTGACATTTTTAATAGGGATTATATGTAAAAATGTAAAATGTAAATGTAAATGTGAATGTGAATGTAAAAATGGTACGTAATTCTGGGGCTGAACTTTGACCAGTTCTAAATTGCCTTCAGTCCTTTTTTGCCGATAATTATATATAATTTATACAAATATGTTTTCAGTAATTAATTTCTTGCGAATAAAGTTTATTTATTATTATTATTATTATTATTTTCACGTTCAAGTCCTAATTTAAAATTAATTTAATTTGCAATTAAAAAGAGTTGCTAATTTTATCTGCTTATATCGTAGTGGATACGTGGCAATATTTTCTTGGAAAAAGGTATGCAGAAATAGATATTGTTTTTCCTTATTATTTTTTGCTTTTGCTTGCTAAAATTAGGCAACATGTAGAGGAACAAATCCTTTGGTTAGAGGTATGAAAGGTCTCAGACGTCCTGAACCGGACTAAAAAGCAAAAAAAAATGTTTGTTGCCGTTTTGTCAATATTTCCGACTATTCGTTACATTTTTTGCGCTTCAACATTTCTTCGGTACTCGGACCGATTGCCTGCCTCTATTTCTGTTCAATGACGATCCGTTCAACGTTAGACGAAAGGTCGTGGGAGTGATTAGAATTTTAAGCTGACGCCGTTCCTTCAAACTCCCAAAATATCCCGTAGCAAGTCCCTTTAGAGTCTTAACTAACAGATTAGCCCCTCAAAGGCACGAATTTACGGCGTTGAATGCGAAGCCCTTCGGATGCCTTTTCTACGTTATTGACTAGCATAAAATAAAACGACTTTTCTGAAAGTTGGTCGTTCCTTTTCCTCGCCTTTTTATGCGCCGGGCGGAATTACTTCTTCGAGTCCCCATTCATATTTGGTCGCTTACATAAATTAAGGGAAAAAAATGAAACGGTATAACTTGCCCTAAAGGCGTACACACACTACGTCCGGTTCCGTTCGTTCTTGTTTCGTAGGGTTTTGCTGTTTTCTTATACGATGTTATAGAGAAAATATTACGTGACAAGGTTATAGTATCAGCAAGTGTGATTCACGCCAGATTGGAATAAATTCACTGAGTTACGTGTGACGTGACTATCAAAACTGATGAACCGATTGCTCTCGAACCAGTGACTAAGATATCGTAATTGTCCAAAGTGGCTCGCAACCGTGGGTAACGAAGTTGACGTTTTAAAGTGGAACTTCCCACAAGCTTGGTTCATCCGCAATTAGGTATTATAGAGTTGAAAATCTATTGTTGTTATGATGGGCTACAAAGGAGGAGGCGAATCATTATGTTCATAAAATGAAATGTCATAAATTCCCTTTGAAACTGAGAGTTATTATTTATTTAGAATTATTACTTTAGGCGCCGCAACTTGCTGACGTTTCGCCAATCATCCTGTTGGCTTCTTCAGAGCTTAATTTAAACTAGCTCACATTCTACTCTCTACCTGCTCTGTAGAGTAGAGTATGAAGAAAACAAAAAAAAAGACAACAGTGGCAAGTGTGGGGTTGCTTCAGGACTCATTGTCTTTGAAAGGTTGCGGTGAAGTGTATTTTGTGACGGAATGCTTAATATCTTGAATATGGAAATTATTAGAGGGAAGAGCGTAAACATGAGAGTTGATAACCGATGATTTTTGGGCTGGATGGTGATGTGACAATGCATTAAGGTATCGGTCTGCGTACGTAGGTTTTCTGTAAACAGACTAACCCAATGTTAGGTCAGATCTTCTGTTGGTAAGAATATCTAAGAATGGCAGATTATTATTAATTTCTAATTCAATAGTAGGCTCAACAACAACTGATGCAGGAAGAACTCAGACGTTTTATAAATACTATTACGATACATTAGCCTGCGGAAGTTTCGTTGAAAATTTTTTAAATGTTTATTTTCCTATAAGTTTTAGACCACTGAACAAATCTAATTATTATCTACTATCTACTATTATCTAAATGTATTTTTTTCTACTCCCTTCTCTTCACGTTGATTGGACGTGAACTAAGTATAACCCTAACACGTCAGTATCATGATCTACTTTAGCTAACAACTTTGGGCGTACTTTAGTTGCAGGGTTCGGAACGATGGGACTTCCACAGAATTGAAAAAAATTTGTTTTAAACCGAATATCGGTGGAAAAATAGGTGACAAGTTGAAGCACATATTTTTTAAATTTGTTTATTAACCAAAAGCGTTGTTTGATCCATTAAAATTGTATATTTCAGTTTCGATGTTTTTACTTTCATTGCCCGTCCTTTTATATTTCAACTAATTCACCATGTATAGTTAAGCTCAAGATAAATATATGAAAGGCTACAGGGTGTCAGAGTCAAGAACTAAAACGTATTTTTGAGATTGCGGTTAACTTTACTGGAAATAAAGTGATTATCTTTTGTATAGAAGTTATAGTATAAAATGATGCAATGCAGTGCAATGGACTTAGCAGCATTGCGACTGTATGTAAAAGACATACATTATCTCATTTTAATTTTTAGCCTCAACGCCTTCTTTATTTTTTAACATTAACTTTCAGATTGAACTAAATATGATTTGAATTATGTCGACTATAACGCTGTAGCAGTCGCCCTGTATATAATTCACTAGAAATATATTATTATTCAATTTTCAAATAAGATCATTTCTTTCAATCATAATACACTTTGTAACGATTCTTGAGTCTATAATACCCAAAATTTGGTTCCTTTTAAGCATAAGCTTTACCTACGGTCCGTCAAGAGCAATAAAAAAGTGGAATACATCCATGTTTTTAGTAAGAAAAGTCCCTCTTAAAATTGCTTCAAGCACAAACGACCATCAAACCGTTACCGTGTACGTCGGTCTTTAGGTTTCGCTGGCGGCGTACCGATCCTCACGATTCGACCTCAGACACGGAGAGTCCACGAGGCACGTGGTCAGATCGAGTTGTCGGGGTTTGCTAGGAACGAACTTGACGATATGTATAACACTTTATCTGCTTGTCATCGCCATTGACTGCTCAGCAGTTTCGTTTAACGACCAGAAAAAATTAGATTGTGGCAATTTACATAAATATTTAACGCTTATATTTTGTTACAGCGATGGAAAGTTCATTAGTACCGGCGAGAAAATTCGACTACCAGATGACGTCACAATGGGCTACATTATAGGTAAGTCCAAGAAAAAATATTTAATAACAAAAAACACGTTTTAAAAGAATCTAAATCAAGTTGTGTTATTGTTACTCAAATAGTTAATTAGACGGGAGAAAACCATTACTTGCACAAGAAAGGACCATTTAAGAGATATATTTGTCCCACCCTCCCTGGAAGTATTAAGATATTGAAAAATCCAATAAAAACCCTTTTCCTCGGGTAAATATAATTAGAATTTAGAACGACCTTTTAAAAAATGAATTTGGCATCAGATACCTATTTAATCTTGGTTTTAAATCAAAAAGTAAATTATTATTATTATTTTATTTTATTTTGTGTATTCGAACTCAATAATTTGGAACAGTATACACCATATAATAAACGGAATGAATATTTGCGTTTGTTTTAACTGGCGATGATAAAATGTCACGCAACAGATGGGGTCAAAAAATTTGACAGGTGAATAACCTGCTTTTGTCGGATACAAAAAGATAGAACGGGTTTTGTGTGTGGGTGTCTGCGAAACGTCCGTACGTCCGATTAGGGACAATTTACAGCAATTACGGACGTTTAATCTAATTGACGTTTCCTCAATTTAGCGATGATACCAACGTTTGTGACGGGTACAAATCGTCTCTTATACGATTCCAGGGATTTTGTTCCTCGTGCAGCACATTTTGATATCCTATCGACTCCGAAAGAAACTTTCTTATTTTTAGGTATATTGTAGGTACCTATGAAACAACATTTCATAGAGGATAATAATGCAAAAAGGCGACATTTTAGTTATATAGTGATTAATAGAATTGCTCATCGTGGTTAGTTACTAGTTAGTTATATGTCAGTTGAAATTATTGGCTCATTTATCAAAAACTGCAAACCATTATCCGTTTGCAGCACTTCTGGATTGCAAACTGGCAAACTCAATCCTTGCTGACTTATTATTAATCTTTTTAATATACTTTATTTTTTCTTTGCAGTCCGTCGGTTTGTTTGGTTAATTTCGCTTGAAATGTTTCAGAACATCTACTCAAGAAGCCCCTCACCGTAGTAGATCAATTTCACTCACACTTAGAACCAATGAAATTTATCCGAAGGGACATGATCGAAGATCAGGTGAGTCGTTTTCAAGTAAAAAAAAAATAAAATATTTTACAAATTTCCTTTAGCAAGCGTTTTTAGTAACGAATATTTTCGGAAATACTGCACGTTTTTTTCAATTTACGTTTTGTTGCTTTTGCCAAAAACAAGTCGTTGTAAGCCTGATTGACAGTGGATGGTCAATGTGGTAGTGATATTCCAGAAAAGTCTTTGTTTAGATCAGTAACTTTCTGAAATTTTGCACTTAACTTACTTAAATATTTTATCATTTCTTTGAATGTAAAAGATGGAAGATTGTGAATTGTGTGTGTGAAAACATCACTCACCATCCTCTTGGGACTTAAAGCTGCGGCGCCTATGGGGTTTGTTAAAAAATCATTTTGAAATTGCCTAGTCGAGGTAAGGAAATACCATGGCTTTGAGGAGGTGTAACGATTAATAAATAAATTTCGGCTTTGCTAATTAAATGTCGGCAGACATACATAGCGAGCCCTTGGGAATGTTAAAGGTTATATTCTGGTAGAATCAGCGGTCCTTTTGTATTGTAAACGTTGCTCGAGAAATGCCTTGTTTAGTTACGATTTTGTTGAAATTTGAAAACTTCATTTATAATGATAAACTTAACCGATAGTATTGCCAAAGAGACGTACACCATTGACTTTTTTGGAATTTCTGTTCTTTACTTCGAATAAGCTACTAAAAGTATAACTTTTTCGTTAGTTATTTTCGTATCTTGTCTTCTTTTCGGGTAAAAAAATAATATAAGAATAATAAAAAATTGCAAAATTTATTTTTATGAACATTTATTTTTTGAATTAGCAATTATGACCACCATCAGCTTAATTGCAGGCAGTTCTACTACTTAAAGATTTTCCAACAAGAAACTAAACTAGCCCAGCGTTGGCGCACGAATGAAATATTAGAGTATTTTTAGAAGTTTAAAATGACGTCATAGTTAAAATTATCTATACGTTATGTAATATTGTATGCGATGTGTAATCTAATGTTGACTGATTCTGTATTGAATTTACAATAATTTAAATGTCATTACGTTGGTAATAAATGTCTTTGAATAACACGCAAGCGAATCAAGATTTAGGTATGTCCTGTATTAACTATTTTAAAACGTACGATATTCACATCCTAAATTTCATAATTACGCTTATATCTATGATACGATATATACGATATCACATATTAGAAACAAAAGAACTATCCTGTTCGATAAATATACCATTTTTAACAGAATTTTGTTTATTATTTTTGAGAGGTAAACGCAAACTTTTTACTCTAAAATACAAATAAGACATTAGTGTCTTTTAAGAATTTTAGAAATATTTATTATTATTATTATTATTATTATTATTAAATATTATATATAATAGGGGAGTTAGCTAGAATTTCTTCCGTCTGATCTTGTTTTTATATCCGATATGGTCTAGTGGCTAGGATACCTGGCTTTCACCCAGGAGGCTCGGGTTCGATTCCCGGTATCGGAATAACAGTTTTTTTTGTTGGTTTTGTTCATTATTATTTATTAAATTTGATCTAAATTATGTAACTTGTTTTTAGCCCCTTAACCATTTTTGGTAATTTAACAAACGTTTTAGCAATCAGTTTTATAGTTTTAATTTTTGTTGCAGATTTCGTTCAGCTACGCCAAAATAAAGGACGAATGGAACGTTGTTAGAATCGAAGGATTCGACGAGAAGTATGACCAAAACAGGTATGGACTTATTTTTGAAAGTAGATTTAGATGATGACTGAAAGTGTTGAACAATCTGTGTGTAATTTGTAGGAAGTGTAGTAGTGCATACTGTAATGAGTATGACATGCTAACGTATTATTATTATTATACGTATTATTTCAAAATCGAATTGTAACTGTAATTTGTTAAATTACACAGCACATTTTTATAAATATGTTTTAAATTCTCATATAATGGTATAATAGTGGATATTGCTTATTAATTTATAAGTTTTACAGCAATATCTGGTAATTCTGTTTATTTTATTTATAAAATTTATACTAGATTTTAACAAGTGATTGAAAATTTTGCAAAATGTTTCAGCGTAACAATGTAATTTACACTATTTTTATAATGAAAGGTTACATATTATATTTTAGTTGTAATATTGACTATATCTTATTGCAAATTTGTGTCGGATGTTCCTAGTACCATATAAATTTTTTATTTTTAAAAATAAATTAATGAAATTTAATGCATAGGGATATCACATAAATGTACCTTAATTGGCATATGGTATTGTTTTGCATTATTTGGCGCTATTGGGAGCTGTAATAAGATACATTTTTATGTAGTATTTATTGTAAAAATCAAACTAATTTTAATAAGTTATGTCAAAAAATGAAAAACATCTTAAACCAGAAGTGATGGAAAATAATGAAATATTTCAAAAAAAGTAAAAATTTTATTTATGTCATATGCCAAATATCATTTGTTTATTTTTAGTTAAAAAAAGAGCCATACCGATTTGTAGTGCACTATAAGAAAATGTATTTTGCTCTATGTGTTTGGCGATATATAGCTTTTATGAACAAAATTTGGTGCTGCAGAACAAAAGTAAAATAAAAAGTCAATAAATTTAGTGAAATTCGTATTAATTAAAATTTAAATTGCTTTTATTACAAAAAATATACACAAAAACAATAATTTCAATTCCTTAGAAAACTAAGAACCAAGTTTTATTTCAGCAAACATGTTTGATGTGCAGTGTGCAAAAATAAATTTATGATTTAAATATTATTGCTTATCAGATATATCAGATATGGTTATCTCTACAAGAGTCATGTCCAGATATTGGTGCGGCAAAAAACATCTTTAAAATATTAGTACTTTCGCAGTGTTTTAATACGAGGTAAGACAACTGTTGCTATTTACGAATACACGTGACAAGACTCTGTCGCACCAGTGTTCGAATCAGAGTTATTGTCCAAAACTGACAGTTCTTCGAAATGTCTCAATCTTGATATATTTTTAATTTGTTAGAAAATTTCATTCGCGGTCCTTCTTTTGGTTTAAATTCTTTTAGACTTCCTTGGCCTCCAAGTTCCACTTTTTATATAAAAAAAAAGAAATACAAAAATATTCTTTGCAACTTTACATTTGGTCCTAAATTTCCGGTTAAGTTTCCAAGTAGTATTTCTAATGATTTTTCGAATTTCTAGTAAAATCAGATTTTTTTTGAAGAATTGGTATCAATGTTAGATTATTATTTTTTGTTATTATTTTAAAAATATCGCTGTTAGTTTTATCTTCGAAAACTTCAATTAATGAAGCAATGCATCAATCATTTAAAAGTTTTTTGCTTCTTAATCTTTTTTAACCATGGTGAAAATTAAAAAAAAAAATTAGTTTAATTGACCTTTGAATTGTTTTCTATAGTAACAAAACAATATTTAGGGCGTAAGTTTGACTTAAATTTAAATAGGACCGTTACGTTTTGAAAATAATATTGTACGTAACACGTCCCCAAAGTGCTTTTACCGCATTTAGGTAATAGTATATTATGCAACAAGTGCGGTAAACGGCATTTGACTTACGAGTTTTTAATAAACGAGTGAGTTAACAAGTTTACCGAACGTGTTGCATACTATACTTTTTCTATGACCGTTAGTTTTTGGGTACATTTTCGCAAAACAACATGAATATATTCACTGACATGACTGTCAGAATTGACAAACGTCAAAATTCAAAGCGTGGGAAATATCTCCGAAAACATTCGATTGCCCCCAAATCCCTGCGGTAAAATCCCGGAAATGTCCGAAGGGGCTCGGAATCGTGAGAGACGAAACTGACGTGGTAAAGTGACGCTTCCCGAACGCTAGATCGATGGGTAATTAGATATTTTACAGACGGGAGTAGAAAAATCAATTTTCTACCCCCGACTTTACCTACATATATTTCTAACGGAAATCTTGTAAAATTGGTTAGTTTTGGTTAGTTTTGTATTTGCATATTTACCTTGGGAGATTAAAACTATAAATATATGAATATATGAGATGGTATATGCGTATAAAATATGTATAAATAATTTTTGTATTGGCTTGTAAGTAAATGTTTATTTAGTGCAAATTTAAAATTATAGGGTTCGAATTGCGATCGTAAATTAAATTTCAGGTTTCTCGTCAGGGTTTTACTTACATGAGCGGTCCTGCTTTTATTTACTTTCAAAATATTTTAGACAGATTCAACGGCCTTAGTATAGAGGTTAAGCAAGTAATTTTTTGTATCATTTTTTGAATGAACCTCGAAACTGATTTGGGAAAGTTGGTGGCCCAGTTAACTAGCCTTTTAGGTGGACAAATTGTGTACAATTTCATATAAGCTCGGAAAGCTGCAATGGTCACTGAATTCCGATCTCAATTAAAATTGATATTTGAAGATAATGGACAGTAAGAATGATATGTTATTAAACGTTTTAAAAATAAAGAATTTGCGAATTAATAATCAAATTCCATATTGACACCCATCCATCCATTTGTAAAAAAAATGAAGTAAACAGAAAAACCTACTTAGGATTGGAGAATATAGACGGAGGTTGAGTTAATAGAGTTAAAAGTTAAATATGTTAATGAGGACTTGAAGGTAATCAATATGTCAGTGATGTCAGTTTTGAGCCCGTCAAACAAATCAAAAGAATTGTATGTTTACAACTACCATTGACCAAAATTGACCAAACAATAATACCAAACTACAAAAGTCTTACAGATTCATAATAGTTTGATGTGAATGTGGAGTTTCCATAACTATTTTTGAAACCTACAAGGATAATGTATACCCGTGTTCTGCAAAAAAAAAACATTTGCCGAAAAGAAGATTTAATTTCACGTAGCAGCTGCTCCAATTTTATAGAAAAGGTTTATTTGGCCGCGTTTTAAAATATCTTTGGATAAGCGAAGGTAATAAATTGCGACGTAAACGTCAAGAAAAAAACAATGTTTTACGAGAAAGCGTTAATAAAAAGCCCTTTTTGCTTTTTAATACGAATTGTTGAAGTCACGCGAAGGTAAACACAATTTTAAATTAGAATTTTTTAGTTCGTCGTCAAATGTACCGATTCTGAAATGTTCTATACCCCTCTTTATAATCGGCTATTTGTAAAATCGTGCAGACCCCACAATTTCCAATTAATGTTGAACACGTAGACTTTACACCGTGCGAGGTCGATAAATTTTCCGTCAACAATTTTTCATCCGCGCTAGAAAGAGGATGCAGGTGTACCGCAATTGATGCAAATGGTGTTCGCATACAGGGTGGTTCGCGTTGAAGTCCTCTTCTAACCTATCCATTTTTGGTACGGCGTACTGTATTAATACTCACAAAAAGCCTTACGGTTTTTGAATAAAAACTTAAATTACATTCATATTTTTAAAAATCTATACGTAAATAAAATTTAATGTATACTTTTGTAGGTAATCAAAAAACACCTGTATTTTTCTTGGGTTGGACCTAAATGTAAAAACATTACATACGCAATGTTGCAAAAATTTGAGTTCTTGCTTTAAAATTGGAGAAAATATTTTCAAAAAGCACATCACCCTGGAATTATAAATATGGTCCTGTTAAAGACTACTAATAAGAAACATCTGGTTAACAAAGAACTTAAGCTAAGTAAAATAAAATCGTTTAGTTATTATCGACTGCTAGAACAAGGTAAAACAAACATGATATTGCGAATAAACATATTATAAATATTAATAATGTGCAATAAGGTGTATTAAAATACGAGGAATTTTAGACACGCGAGTTTTCATCATTGTTATATTGGACCATATATTTATGACATCCCGTAGTACGTATATTGACGAAATACAATATATAAGTTCCATTTCGGGTAGATCTGACCATTATTCCTGTATTTGAGAAAATATTTCTGAAATACAGATTATCATATATGGACGTATACCAAATTCGCAAAAGTTTCTATTAGTTTTCCCATATACTTCCTATGTACTCGTGTGTGCTCGTATGCTCTCGAAATCGCTTCAATTTATGGACCTGCCAGTTTAGAAAACGCAGTAACTCTTTAATAACACACAATTGCGGAATATCAATTTACTCGAGCGTAGGCAGGAATACTGGTCGTAACAAATTGTCACTTTAAATTGCGTATGAAAAAAAAAAAGACATTTCCAACAAACATTTAATACTAGGATCACCAGACTCCGCCGTAAATTTCGCTCTTCCAATTCGCACAGGTTCAGAAGCCGAAATTTTATCCTCCCATTCACATTTTGTAAAATATTAGATACCAAAACTTAAAAAATTGCTATGTTTAACTATTATAAAAAAAATTACCGTTGTTAATATTATTTTATTCCACTATTGGTTGCTGCTATGTTTGGGGATATTAACTGTTATTGATTAATAATAATAATTATTAATTCCACTATTTTTCAATAGAACTGCAAGTACGGTTTAATTTGTTAATATAAATAAACAATTTACGTGTTCTTAAAAAAAACTGAGTTCAACTGAACCAAGAAAAAATGTGCAGGTTTGGTAAATGCAAATCGGATTTTATTAATAAGCTTATAATAGAATTGCGAGTGGTGGTTATACAAAAATTAGGACAAAATTATGCAAAGCAACAATCCTGTTTCTGTTTCTGACAGTCTGTGCTTTTTGCAAAAGGTTCAGATTTTCCAAAAATATTTCATCATTCGTCAGCTATTAAAATTTGCAGTAAATATTTGACTGTTAGTGTTCTTTTTAGATACATAATTTTCATTCACTTGGTATTGTTATTACAAAATTACTCACTGAATTTCTTGGTCTCTCACCGGTCTCGGCCATTGCAATCCGCGCTTATGAAATCAATTTACGTCTGGTAGATTATTTATTTAGGAGAAAATCTATATATTGTACATTTGTTTGGTATTTCAGTTTTGCATGCACTCAATGAATTAATCATTTTTATGACTTTGTGATGTGATGATTTTTATGAGTTTGTCTTTCTCCACAGTAATTTAGTGTAAAATCTTTTTTTTTATTAAAAGGCGTCAAGACATCAGTACATGTTTCAAGCACTCAAATATTCATCGCCAAGCGGTAAACATGGTGTGCTACAACACCGTGCCTTTAACAATTACAAAATATGACAATATTGCAACATCTATATATATAGACAATCAGGTAGTAATAGATAATTAATTACCGTTGTAGGGTTATAAATTTAAATTGAACAACGTACGCGCATTTAAATCCAACTGGTCTTTAAGTAATAGAATCCAATATCTCATTTTAAATTAATTTACCCAATTTAGTTTGGTTCTTTTTGTTTCATTATACAAAATATCAAAATTATCGTCAAACTTGTGTATTTCTGAATTTAAATGAATGGCATCCGCTTGTCCGCTATAAATTTTGGGACGTAATCCCCATTTCCACTTGTAGACTCCGAACTTTTGGGTTTTTCGTAATTCAGTTTTATTCTTACACATTTTCCATTGGTGTTTTTAATTTTAAAAGCAATCTTAAGATCAAATTTATATAAATCAGGAAAAACTCAAGAGTCTGGAGTCTACAAGTTGAAATATAGATCATGGAACATTTAACAAATGTATTAACGAACATAAAAAAGCGTATAAAAATAAATTTAGGATTCTAACTTTGCCATTCATTCAAATTAAAAAATACACAAGTTTGACGACAATTTTGGTATTTTACATAATGAAGCAAAAAGCAAAAAACTAAATTTGTTAAACTAATTAATAAAATCTATTACTTAACGACCAATTTGATTTAAATGTGCGTCCGTCGTTAAATTTAAATTTATAACCCTCCACTGGTAATTAAGAATCTATTATTACCTAATTATATATATAGATGTCGGAAAATTGTATATATGTTTTGTATTTGATAAAGGCACGCTGTTTTCGAAACAGCTCTCCTAACGTAATAAATAACTGTGAAAATCTAAACAATTTTTGTTCTAATTTAATTGTGTCAAATGGATTTTTATTAAGTAAAAGCCACCTCAGTTCAATTAAATACAAAATGTTTGGAGGAGATTTATTTACTTTTATTTACATAAAGCTAGAGTAATTTTCGTTATTGTTTGGTTATTGTTCAGATTTTTCGATAATAAAAATGTGCTTATGCTCCCGATAACCGAAAAGCACATTTTGATATTAGTCACGTGACCGATATCACGGCAGTAAATTCGAAAAATTTCACCTGAAGGTTGAGTTACATGCAAAAATATCGAAACAAGATATTTGAAAAATTGTTTAGAATGACATTTTAGAGCTTATACACAATTAGGAAACCAAAAAATAGTAACATATTAAATATCCCATCCCTTGCAAATATATTTTTTGAAAATTATTGATAAATATTTAACATAAAAATTTAAACTGAAGTAAAATTTACAAAAAAACTGTTTATCTGGAGGTTTGAGGGTACGAGATTGTTTCCCCTGATTTTAAGCGTATCCGCAGAGCAAAAAAAAAACAACAAAAAACGGCCTCTTTCAAATCCAATTAATTTCTTCTCCCGACACCTGCCAAAAAATTCGTCATCACAAAGGATTCGTTTCGATGCCGAAAATTGCCCAAAATCTGACCCGGCCAGCGTACCCAACCCCCATTCAACGCCATGATTCAGCGGTTTCATTCCATTACTAATGACACGTTTTCTCTTTCAGGTTTTTGTCCTTGCATTGTTTCCTATTTCCACAGTTCAACTTCTGCCCGACCAGGAGAAAAAGATGAAGTTCTGCCGAAGCGACCCTTTGGATTACGGAGGAAAATTGACAATAATAAAACATGTGAATTTCGGGTATGGTTCTGGCATTATGTTTAGGAGCTCTGAGTTTACGACTACGTCAAATTATTGGGACGGTTTGTGGAATTCATAGTTTTAGCTTTTAGCTGACATAAACATAACAGACCATATTTTTTAATCTGACTACTCATTCGACTACTTTGACAAAATAAATTTAAAAATGATGAATTTTCAATTAAGGAAAATTAAAAATTTTGTTTTTCATTTTTTGCCTCAAATTTTTGGTAATATGTAATGCATTTAAAACAGTATTTAACTTCTAATAAGAGTATCACATATTACGTTTCTCTAACAAAAATATTCTTTAATTAGTTGATTGCTAGCTTTAACTTGTTAAACCAGTTTTTTGGTTTATAGGCGGGGAGTTGTCTTCTTTTTCTTTTAGCTAAGGCTCGAAGAATAGTTGAATGCGGACTCCTAGTCATAATGCCTTTACTTTAAACATAGTTGGTACAACTGAAAGATAACAATCATTAATAGACTTCAGAATCGTGCAATTACTGTCATTACACCATGGTAATTAACTCAATTTCGCATGAAGCAGAACGTCTAATTATACAGATTCTAAAAAACAATGACTTACAGTTCTATATGAGACTCTTTTGCAGAAACCCTTACTCTATAATCATTGGTATTTCGGATACATAATTATTTAGTCGGTTGGAAGAATAGTAATTGTTGTTGTCTTCGCTGTTTGGCCACTGAAAATCTGTGATTTGTATTAGTAGGTCTGGTATACCATTTAATTACGTAAGTTAAGAATTGTTAGGTTAGGAACTAGTCTGGAATTGTTTTTGTAGAGCGGTTAAATTTTTGAAAGCTAGATGGATCTCCTCTTCATTTTCGTATGTAACAAAAATGTCCCAAATTGTTTAATATTTATTTATTTTTTAATTTTTCTTTTAGTTTTAATATTATTTCAACCAAGAATAAGAAAGACATATGATTTGTTTTAAGTTGTAGAATATCATTTTTAACATTATTTGTTACAAAGTGACTTTGATTTATCATTTTGTGATACACTTCGCTACAAAAGATACTGTATATAAAAACGCATTAGCAATAATTTATCAACATTAAGGTGCAATGTTTATATAGAAATCTCTATCACAATTATTTGCTCAAACATTGTAAAGTTTGGTAGTAATTTTGTACAGCACTGTATAGGAATAAATAAATAAATAGTTTTCTCATTTAAAATGTTTAAAAGGTTTAAAGTTGTTTTATTATTTTTGTATGTTGACAATTATTGTAAATTATAATTAAAACGTTATGGTGGAGAGAACAGGTTGTGGTTTTATTTTTACAATAATTATTTATATCACTACCAAGGGAAAAAAGGAATTGATGTATTTAAACAATCGTTTTAAAGACCTAAAATCGTTTCTTAATTAAGGTCACGCCCATTTGCATACTATAGAAAGACGAGTTTGGTGAATAAAAGCGTTACTACTGGTAATTATAGATATGGGCAAGATAATTGAGATACTAATTATTCTAAGAATAATATTACATATATTATATTAATAATTATAAACATTATTATTATTAAGTTGATATTAATTTGTGGAAAACAATGACGGGTCTACAATATTTTCTAGCATATTATCAGCGTCCCACATTCTTTTTTATTTTAATAACAGGTTCGACCCTCTTATTCCATTTTTAACTATCCACAGTTAAAGTTCCAAAAAGGTTTCAACATACCTAATTTTAAAAGTGGTATTATGCTTTACGTCACAGTGATATGGCGGAAGGCGAAGAATTATCATATTTCGTTTTGGATCGATTTCGTCCAAAGAGGTTATTCAAATTTACAATATCCAGTAATTACTTTCTCAGCATGTTTGAAATTGCTTCTTTTTTTAAAGTAGGACAATGAAGGATATCATTTTTTTCTAAGACGTATTTTTCGGAGGAATAGGAGCTACCATTTGACGGAAGTACTCTTCAAAAACTTCACCATTCTTCAGCATGTTTTTATGATAGTCTCCTGTTCGTACTGATGGAAATGGTAGTTAGCCACCACTGACAAATCAATTTTTGGTAACAATTTTTTACGTTTTCCAGAAGGTGCTTTTAAGCTTGCCTCACTCTTTTAAATTTTCATCTTGCCTAGTCTTACCAGCAGTACATTCTTAATTTACCCAAGTTTCCTCGAGATAATAGATATTCCTGTTTTCCCTTCTAAACTGTCACCAGCAGATGATTTGGCATTTCTTTATTACAAGGTATATTGTGTTTGGAGTTTTTCCTTCAAAGTTTTCCACAATTTTTTTGCCCATAGGTCGAATGAACTCATCCTTTTTCATTTCATACAAGGTAGGTATTTCTTTTTTTAAGTAAAACGAGTGTATTATTCTCCTGATAGCAGTGTTTTCATCCTCATTTATTACAGTTTCTTTTCTTCTTATACTTCTCTTTGGTGACCTAATGAGGCCGCTTAAATTTTCAAGCAAACTTCCACTGCAATACTATTTATAAATCTTCTAGATTCCTCCTGCGTCGGATAAATCGCACTTGCTCATAATCATCATGTTGGCTTATTCATAACAGTGTTACCTCTACACTTACCGCGACTTTTAATCAGAAATTCATGAATTTACTAATTTGCAGGGTGTATTCCATTTAAAATTTAAATTTAGCTGCTCCGATTCACTGATAAGATACATGCCACCCTTTATAATTTAATAGCATAATTATTTCTTATATCATTGCAATTCATTACTGTATACAATATATTTTTCGCGATTCAACATAGAGAAGTAAGATTAAGTAGTTAAAGAGTTCATTCTCAAGCTTAATTAAGCTAATGATACTTTAAACAAATAGCGTCGAATTAAACTTAACAAATTTCGGAATATCAAAATCTCCACGGATCCTTTATAACAACTAACATAACTTACCTAAACTTCCAGGAAAATGACTCGTTAAACAGTTCTCACGGGGAGCGCGATATAAGGGAAGATCATAAATCAGGGGAGTTTCCGTATTCAGATCGATCCGCACCGAACATGAAATTCAAATGGATAGTTTTGGATGTGCATTTATAGGAAATTCCATTAGTCGAAAATGGGCTCTTGTTGTGCCAAAAGGATCCTTTTAGTCATCTGGCATTCGTCAGTTTAACTTTATTTCCATTCGCATTATTCGACTTCGGATCTATCGTCGCGCTGCGTACGAATTAGTTTAATGTCGTCGCCGACAAGTTAAATTGAATCGGAATATTTTACCGAGTTTGTTCTCGAAGTGATTTTAAACGCCATATTTAATACGCGTGATGAATAAAGCCGGAAAATGAAATTGGTTTCGTTTAGTACTTGGGGCCTTTTCCATGAGTTACACTTCCTAAGGCACTTGTCTTGGTAATTTGATTTACACGGGTGTCAAATTAAAATTTAAGTGACAACGTGGTTTAACTACGGAGGGTTAAAATAAACGAGATATAGTTCGATCCAAATATACTTTTAATACATTGAAATTTTTGTGTTACAGTATATCTTTGGCGTACAAGCAAGAGAGAGGATGAATAATAAAGTAACAAGCAAAGGTTCCCTTATATAACTATTGCAACGTACACAAAAAGTGATGCTTTTCTACGCAGCACTTTGTGGGAATAATGGACACGGCGAAAACCCAACCCGAAGATTGGTTTCGATGTAGAAAGACCGTGCTGGTCAAAGAAGCTCTTGAAATCATCAAAAACTACTACAGAAGGACCACAACACTATCAGCCAGAAACCGACACACACTGGACAATACCATAATAAAAGAAGAATGAGGAAAAGCCAACAACCAGCTGAGCAAAGAGGGAGAAAATAACTCATCATCAGATATATCGGAGGATTATCAGAAAAACTCCAATCCAAATCGCCCGACAATACAGGATTAAAACAATCTGCTGATCTAGCGATACACTTTCCTGAGCACTCAATAAGGCAAAACCAAAAAATGCATGTTAACTTAGACCCTAAATTATTTTAAATACTTTTAATAGAAGGTTTTTTAAAAAAAATTACTACATTACAAAGTATTTTTTAACAATGTATTTTGTAACTGTTTTATACAGAAAAATAAATGTTATGAATAAAAAATGTTATAATATCAATATTTTTCCCCCTGCCTAACACTTTGTTTTGAATCCGGAAATTAATGCCAACGCGATAGCGGATTAGTAGGTACTGTCATAAAACAGATTGAAGTGGTCAGAAACAGGTAAAATTTTAGTGGTTTAATGGAAATCGTATGAGGGTGACTTAAAAATATTGGTGAGCCTTTAAAAGATAGACCACAAATTTTGAAACCAATATCCAAATTAAAAGCGCTCTTGTGTTTGTAGAATTCGCCTCATACTGGCTGTCTCGCTTCCGACGTTGAGAAAAGTCAGAGATGGAGTTAATATTTTAGTTGATTTCAATTTTATGTGACGCAGTATTTAGTTCATTCATACATACTTAATTATTTAAATATAATTATGCAATTGTACAATTTACTTTCATTAAATAAATATGCATTAAGAAATACGAAATATTTTATTTTTTATTTAGGTTTCGTCTATATTCCGCCGGGCTCGTCTCAAATGCCGATTACTAATATAATATGACATAATATACTTCATAATATTATAATATAATAAATTAATATATTATTTTCTACCCCTTCTCTAAAATACCTAATTAAGCGTCATTTTATTTGACGTTTGACGTTTGTCAATTCTAACTGTCATGTCAATGAATGCATTCGTGTTTTTTTGCAAAAATGTACCCAAAATCTATCGGTCGCAGAAAAAATATAGTATGCACTTCGTTTGATAAACTTTTTAAATCACTGGCTTCGCTCTGCTCTTCGCTCTTGCCATATAAACTTGTGACTCAAATGGCGTTTACCACACTTGTTGCATAATAACATAGTATAGTATAAAATATAGTATTTTAATGGATCTAGATAAGACGTTAATAAAAACTTATGAATACAGATTTGTGGCAACCTGGTCCCAAAACGGAAGCATGTTTTCAGATGAAAAATAGTCAGTCAACGTAAATCATAAAATCATTGGAAATTTTTCAAAATTTCAAAAGTAAATGGTAAGTAAATTATTAAGTAATTCACTAGAAAATGACAAGCGTCGTCAGCCATACTTAAAAGTTTAGTTGGGAGCGGAAAATGCAATAATATTCAAGGAATTTCGAAGATACTGCTACTTTTTCGATAAAACGGGTACCTTTCGAAAGAGTCAGGTGAACCGAAAATCAAAATGCGAAAAAGTGTTTTTCTCCTTAAACTTCTTGAGTGGTGGCGCGATGGTAATTTTAGTCAGCCAACGGAGAACTGATATCTATTTTCGTTTCCATGTATTTCCGCCTTAAGACCTGTGCTATGGAAATTTATCTGCTGACGGTCCGAACAAAATAATCAGAACTTATCGAGCGTGGTCGTTTTCGTTCGCACTGATATCTAGAAGAACCTTTCCGTAAAATTATTCAGAGAAAAGATATTGCAAATCCGCACCAAAGACAGAATTGTTACTATGACATGAAAAGTTTTGCAATTTTTTTTCTTTCGACCTTGTTATCAATTTCTATACTTGCATTTGGCCTTATCGGCTGTTTATTTTGAGGATTAGAGATGTGAGGTTCCATGATTATCGATGTAGTTTTCGGTCGATTACATAATCCGATTCTTATTGATGTCGCCGAGCTGGATAGGGAGAATCTACAATACTACGATATTTATTAATTTTCAGCGTTTCACTTTAAATTTTATAATGTCTAGACAATTATAATACGAGAGTCTGTTACTCAGTAGGAGGCTACTTCATAAAGAATTTTTGTTCTACTGTCAGTAAAAAGAATGGAACAGAAAACCGAAAATTCCGCTGTTCATTGTCATTATTGCCTGCATAAGGAGGTTTTTGGTGTTTGTAAATTATTAAATAAAATATTTAAAACTTTAAAATGGTTTTTGTTTCATGATCATCTGAAATTTAATTTCAGTTCGGCATAGTTGACCCCAACCTTAAAGCGTTTGGTGCGGCTTCATCGGACCGTTCTATTTAAGACATCCCTTTATTGACATTTGAGCCGCCGAAGACATAAAACTTGAAGAATCTGTGCATATGTTTCTCTTTGCCGGAATACGCTTTCCATTTCCTGAGAGAGAGAGAGCCCGCCTTAAATATTGCGGCGCAATTTTCTTCTTGCCATTTCCTCCTGGAGTTGCCCGAAATTGGGATTTCTAAAACGCCGTAAGAAACACCATGTCGCTCCAATATTTAAAT